TTTAGCTGTACCCTGAGGAGTATGGCAGAGAGGCATCATCCCATTTAATGCCCATATCCAACTCCACTGACTCTACTTGGACATCTGGCAATCTGATGTGGGATACGTTGACTCCTCCTCAAATGCATAGTAAGGATAAAGGACATGGTCATGGGTCATAAGGAATCAGAGAGAGAGACTGTGGAATCACAGCAGGAATCTCATCTCTGCTTTGGGTAACCCCATCCACCCTCCTGCTGGCCACATCCCCATGAGGCTGTGATGGTTTTGGTCAGTGGTTAAAAATAAAAGCAGAATGGGGGGTTGTTTTCCCCTCATGATGAAAGGAGGATGGGGCCAACTTGGATTGCATGGCTGGCAGAGGGTCAGTGGGGTGGGCTGGCTGGGGGCATGAGCAGGGACTGTGGTTTTCACTGCAGGATCATGGATAATGCATCCTGGGTAGCAGCTGCCTGATCAGCATCCCAGCTTGTACCAGTACTGGTGTGGCAGTAGGACCAGGGCAGTGACTGTGAGGCACCTCCAGTCCTGGGGGCCATTTTGGACCCCTCAATCCAAGAAGCATATTGAGGGGCTGGAGTGTGTCCAGAGAAGGAAATGGAGCTGGGGAAGGGTCTGGAGCATCAGGAGTGGCTGAGGGAACTGGGGGGAGCTCAGCCTGGAGGAAAGGAGGCTCGGAGGGGACACTTTTGCTCTCTCCAACTCCCTGACAGGAGGAGGAACCAGGTGGGGATCAGGCTCTGCTCCCAGGGAACAAGGGGCAGGACAGGAGGAAATGGCCTCAAGTTGTGCCAGGGGAGGCTTAGCTTGGATATTGGGAAAATTCCCTCCTCAGAAGGCTTGTCCAGCCCTGGCCCAGTCTGAAGTCCCCAACTCTGGAGGGATTTAAAAGCTGTGTGGATGTGGCACTTGGGGACATGGGTTAATGGTGGCCTTGGCAGTGCTGGGTAAACAGTTGGACTCCATGATCTCAGACGTCTTTTCCAACCTTAACGATTCCATGATTCTATAATCAGGACTTACTCCTGCCTTCTCTGGCATGAGCATCTTTCATGATTGGGCAGAAGAAACCCACATCAGGCTACAGGTTTTAGCAGCCTGACATCAAGTGATGCAGCAGCTCCTCAATTCCTGGGACAGGACTCCTKC